ACCGTGTGGAGAAATGGGCTGTGGAAACAACTGTCCAAATACGGGATCAAGGGGAAAATGTGGAGAGTGCTGAAGAAGATGACAAGAGTGTACGAAAAGTGAGGTCATGCTAGACGGAGAGTGTCAAAATTCTTCGACATTGAGCAGGGGGTCCCACAAGGTTGCACGCTGTCCCCAACATTGTTCCAGGTGTTCATCAACGATCTGTTGGAAGTCGTAGAGGCAGTCCGGAAGGGAGTAAAAGTAGGGGACACGGAAACGTCGGTTTCAGGAATGCTGTTTGCGGATGATTTTGTCGGTATGTCGGACACCCCTGAGGGACTGCAACTGCAAATTGACGCGGCGAAGAAGTTTACTGATAAGTGGAGATTGTCTGCCAACGTTCAGAAGAGTGCCGTCATGGTATGCAACGAGAACAAGGAGGAACCAGTAGAACATAGATGGAAGTGGGGGATCGAGGAGATTGCAGTAGTGGACCAGTACACATACCTCGGAGTAGAGATCGCAAAAGACTGCTCGTGGAATGCACACATGTCCAAGGTAGCGGAAAAGGGCAAAGCACGAGCAGGGAAGCTGCACCCAATACTCGGAAACCTGTCTCTTATACACATCTGAAGGGAGTAAAAGTAGGGGACACGGAAACGTCGGTTTCAGGAATGCTGTTTGCGGATGATTTTGTCGGTATGTCGGACACCCCTGAGGGACTGCAACTGCAAATTGACGCGGCGAAGAAGTTTACTGATAAGTGGAGATTGTCTGCCAACGTTCAGAAGAGTGCCGTCATGGTATGCAACGAGAACAAGGAGGAACCAGTAGAACATAGATGGAAGTGGGGGATCGAGGAGATTGCAGTAGTGGACCAGTACACATACCTCGGAGTAGAGATCGCAAAAGACTGCTCGTGGAATGCACACATGTCCAAGGTAGCGGAAAAGGGCAAAGCACGAGCAGGGAAGCTGCACCCAATACTCGCAAACCGGCACCTCGATACACGCATCAAATTGACGGTTTTGAAGAGCGTAATCGTACCGCCGCTAGAGTACGCCGGAGAAGTATGGGAAGGAAATAAGAAGGTAGTGAAAGAACTCGAGGCGGCGCAGATGAAAGCAGCGAAAACCATCCTAGGATGCTCCAGGCGCACAAGTAATGCAGCCGTGAGGGCAGAATTGGGGATCCAATCCCTACGGTCGGGAAGAGACGCGAGGAAGCTGACCTGGCAGTATCGCATGTGCGGGATGGGAGAGGAGAGGTTGCCGAGAATTGTATGGGAGGCGAAGTGGGCAAACAAAAAGAGGGGTAGACAACCCACGGAATGGGTCAAGGTTGTAGAGGACGTATGGAAGGGGTTCGACATCGACGAACACGAAACGCTGGAAACGGATGGTGTAACGGGGTTCAAGGAGAAGATATCTGTTGCTTGTGCCGAGAGAGAAGAACAGAATCTGAGGAAAGAATCCAAGGATAAGGAGGGTCTAGAAGTGTACGGAATGTTGAAGGAAGGAATAGGGTTCAAGGACTACCTACATGGACCAATGGATGCAGGAACAAAGCTTAAGGTCAAATTCAGGACCGGGGACATAGGCCTTCGAGAACGTCGACGAAGACATAGGACGGTAGACGAGGAAGACGACGAGTTCAAATGTGATTGCGGCTTCGAATGCGAAGACCGTGTTCATGTAGTCGCGGAATGCCCGTTGTACAAGGAGGAGAGGGAAGTGTACGTCACTGAGCTGGGAAAAATAGCTAGGACGTACAAGGAGATGTTTGAGGCATGAAATAGAGAGGAAAGGGCGGTAGCTGTACTCGGGCATAGGAGGTGGGTTGAAAAGGCGGGAAGGGNAAGGCATGCAAAACATAAGAGTCCCCCCCCCCCCCTCCCCCCCACCCCGTTCGACGGTGGCCACGGTGTTGCGCCGTGATTATCGTCTTTTCCCGCCTCTTCTCACCTCTGGCTCAACGAGCGCTGGAACTCCAGGAAGCTCGCTAAGCTAGACATCCCGCCACCGGCGCCGGCGCCGCCGCCATCGTTGCCCACGTCGCTATAGGTACCGGCCGCTCGGAGATCGACGCCATTCCTCTCCGACAGGCCGCTATCCTCGGGAGGCGGCGAAGGTACGCTATCCCTCGCCGCCGTCGAGGCATTCGAGGCCGCCAGCGCCGCCGACTGAGCGGCGATGGCCGCGGACATTCTCGCCAAGCGCCGGAGTTTGTCCTGAGGATAAGAAGAGTGAATCCGCCACACACGAGAGATGAGGGACGGGGCGGGCTGGACAAGCGAACAATAAAGCCTGCCTCTGCAAGACGTGGCGCCGAACAAGCAAGACGCTCAAACACGTTCGTTGCCGCCGTGCAGGTGAACAGAAAACAACAACCCGTGTGTGTGTGAGACGAAGAAAACCAAATCAGGGACAAAACACAGTTCTATCAGCGTCCCTCAGGTGCATGGCGTACGCCTACTTGGCAGCAATCACGCTACCAATGCCGACATTCTAGCAATATAGACTGGAGGGACGTGCATACCGTCTGCTGCTTGGCTAGCGAAAAACGAGTCTTTTCGCTGCTGCATCAAACTTGCGGCTAGCGAAACTCCAGCACCGGGGGGAACGAGTGACAAACCTGCCTTGAGCAGTACCAAGTCGTCAAAGGCGCCTCGTGCATGCATACACCGCCGTCATCAGGACAAAACAGGTTACACCTCGCATGCATAACGCTACATACATCCTGCGTGGCCATTTTGCGCGGAACAGTGCGCACAAAACAACCAACCGTAACCCCTTCACGGCAAACAACCCCTCAGAGAAAAATTAAACGCCGGCATCACTTGTACCATCCACAACTCAAGCTTTGCGTGACAAAAAACACGAAACGACAACCAATGACACAAAAACCTTTCCCGGTGCCCACGTTTCCGCGTGCGTCGGGCAAAGGGGGGGGGGATGCTGCCGCAAGATAAAAAACAAGGAAAAAAATGCCCTCAAGTATCTCACCTGGGACAGCCGTACGTGTAGCCTGGGAAGGTCGCCGTAGACCTTGAGCTGGGACACGCTGGGGTCGTTCGGCATAACACTCAGGTGGAGTTCCATCTGAGTCGTTTTTCCCAAGGGGTTTTTCGAGGTTTCGGGAAGCGGGAAGAGGGGGTGGGGGGGGGATTAGGCGAGGTTGCGAGATTATGATGTTGAAAAAGCAAGCTCGATGATGAGACAGAACTCGCAACGGCAGATATGTATGTAGGTTGGTCTTGTCGAACAACAAAGCTCGGTGAGGAGACGAAACCTCGCAACGGCAGAGGTGTGTATTATTTTTTTTTCTCCCATCGTTGGATTCTATCGTCTGCCCCTCTGGTCCCTATCCTCCACTTCTACTAGCTAGACGACCCAACGGGGGTCACACAGGAGGGGGAGGGTTGGACCCCCTCCTGCGGTTCCTGCCTGAGATATTTTTATCGCGAGAAGGGTACAGCAATCCCTTCCCTCGCGACTTATGAAGTCGATAAAGTTTATTAACAACGCGCTTTGAAGCGCATCGCTTCCAACGGAGACCAGGATATAACTAGTGAGAAAAAACTCACTCTGTCGGGACTCGAACCCATGACCTGGCCCCTAGCAGGCCGCGAGGTTACCCACTAGACCACCGGGGCGACCGTGTGTAGGTTGGTGAGTCGAACAAGAAAGCTCGTTTGACGAGACAAAACAAAACTCGCAACGGCATAAGAAAGGTGGATGATACGAGCACGTTCATTCTGGTATACAGTTGTAGCCTGGAGAGCTAACTCAACACACAACGTTGCGCCTGGTCCCTGGAACATTTTCGAAAGCACGCAGAGCGCTCGGAGAAAAAAAAAAGATGGCAGCCTACCACCACGCTCTCCAAATTGAGGCACCCAGGACGGACAGAGCAACCAACGACAACATCTGTTTTCCCGACGACCACTCGAGTCTGCCAAAAGACAGACGTGATGATCCGGGGTGACGTCCTTACCTACAATCGGGGGGGGGGGGGGGGGGGGGGGGGGGGGGGGGGGGGGGGGGGGGGGCAGGTGCTGGAACCAACCTTTACGTCGAAGGGGTTTACAAGCCAGCGCTTGGCAGCTTCTTCCTCCTCCCCGTCGCCGCTGCGGCTCTCTCTCCCGGCTAGCAGCAACACCCCGACTCGATGCACCTCCACCCTGTACACGTCGTAAAACTTTGCGTGCCAGCTTTCTCCGGTGGCGCGCTGCCTCTTGAACCCGCCGCCGCGACCGGCGCCGGGAACTCCGAAGCCGTTCTTCCCTTGCCTTTGCGAAGACGACGGCTCTTCCATTTCGTTGCCGCCGCCGTTGCTGCTGCTGCTGCCGCTGCTGCCAAAGCCGTCCGCGCCCTCTTTGTCCGCTCTTCGGCGGAGGTGTTGGGCCAGACGATCGGTGGTGAGGGTCACGCTGCCGAGGTCTACGACGAGCATCTCCCTCGCCACTACCGCAACCGCGCCTGTCTTCTTCCTGGGCGTGCTACCCTTGTCGACCACGCCGCCGCTTGGCCGCCCCTGGGACCCTTCTCCTTCTTCGTGAAAAACACAATTTTCCTCCTCGCCTGCCGCCACCCCCCTCTCTGCCGTGGGCTGCGCCCCCCCCTCTTTCTTGTCCTGATCTGGTCCGCGGGGCGCCCCGCTGCCACCGCTAAGGTTGACGGGGATGACGAGAATGGGGGCCTTGACGTCGAGGTCGAGGAAGGTCAGGAAACGGTCCGACATGGCCATTTCCAGCCGAGACTCGACTTGCACCCTCAGGTTCTTCAGCTGGTTCGTGGCGGCGAGCTGTTTTGTCCCCCCCCCCAGGGCCCACACCGCGGCACACCCGACCAAAACGAAACGCGAATGTTTTTGAGGTATTTAGTGGCAAGGTGGCGCCGTTGCGCCGGGGGAGGGCGGGGTGTTGGCGGCAGCGCTTTTTGCCGACCGGGTGTGCGCGTGTGCGGCGGCGGAGACAAGCGAGAATACGAACTACACCGTCGGCGGTGGTGGCGGAAGGGGGTAGGAGAAAGGGGGTTCCGCGGTGTTGACGAAAAGATTGTGTATGGTATTATAACTACATCATGGACGTAAACCGCTCAAGAGATTATTATCCCGGCCACCACGAGGTTCGAGCTTGCCGCAGACGGGAAGCACGCCCCAGGCAGCAGCAACCCGCCACCCAGGAACTGCTGCTTGGTGTGCTTCACAGCAGTAGGACACCCCCTTACTGCTGGCCAGAGTCAGAGTCACCCATCCGCGATTCGATTTGTTTTCGTGCAACAAAACCTGACCACGCAAAGCCCTTGGTCTTATCTACCCTGACTCAACAGCAACAGAGCTCGGTGCGCGTTTTGCGCCACTCGAGACGGACGGGCGTCCGCCCAACCACGACTGCAAGCGATACGCGGTACCGTGTACGCTACCTCGAGCGTGGCCCGGTGCTGCAGCGTCTCCGGCGGCTGCGCGAACGCCACTATGTCCAGCACCCACCCAGCCGTAGGCGACATCACCGCCTCCACCTGCGGCATCCCGGGCGGCCGATCGTTCGTTCGTTCGTTTCGGCAGAGCAAGGAGGAGGTTTGTTTCGGAGAGGCACAACACAAGAGAAAAGAGCAACCACTAGAGCAGAAGCCAGTGACAAGAAGGATGTCGGAAATGCACAAAGAACAAAAACGTGACAGTCAATTGGGGGTGATAAAGAAGGAAGGTCGGAGGGCCGCAAGGAAGAGCATGCACGCGCAAAACGTCCGCGGAATATGAAGGTTCTAGGAACAACAGCGGTTGGTCGCTTTCACCACGAACCTACTGTGGGGAGGCACGCGGCCGGTGAGAGAGTCCGCCCGTTTTATTGCCGTGAAGATCGTGCCAACAACAGCAACAACAACAGCAACAAGACTACGGGATACTTCCGTGAGCTTGTTGCTGCGACGCGGTCAGTCACCACCGCCTTCCTTCCTTCCTTCCTTCCTTCGCACCTGATCAACGGCGAGGTAGACCTTGGCATCGTACTCAGCGTCCCGCGGGTTCATCTCGAAGCGCATCTCGAAAAGAGGAGGGCGTTGTTGTTGCAGTTGCGGAGACGCGAGCGACGACGACGACGAAAAACAAGACGTTCCTCCTCCTCCTACGCCTACACCGCCCCCAATGCCCCCTGGCAAGGCTCGGCGGGTGACGATCGGCGACGAGAGGCCAAGCTTCTCCGTGCTCCCGCCTCCGTTCAACTGTTAAGCGTAAAAGAGTCGGAGGCGAAAGATCGATTTACCGCATGTCAGAGGGGGGGGGGCGGTGGCGAAGCGGTGGCTGGCGGGTGCGGGCGAGTCGATGCGTGATGATTCTGCACGCAAAGTATAACGCATAACACCCAGGCGCAGTAGCAGCAGCAGCAGCAGTGCCGATGGACTGGGCACCCCATACCAGCGCGACAACTACAACCTAACCAGCGACGACGGCAGGCAAACGGCAGGGGCGTCCTTAACATGCCCTGCCGAGAACGCCAACACAAGCGGCAAAAAACGAACACAGCAACAACAGCCAGCACCGCACCACGATATCGATATCATCGGCACTATTCTAGCACTCAGCCCCTCGCACACGTGCATATCTCCTTCTCCTTGCGAACAACTAACAGAACAATACCCTGTGGAGACCCCTTTCACAAGCGGCACCACACACCCCTCAACGTCCGTCGAGGACATTCCCTTCTCTTCGCATTGGCGTCGACGAAGAGATATCTGGTTTTGGTGGAAGAGGAGACCCGGGTCTGGATCCGGTCACCCCGTCATGTTTCCAAAAATTGCATGCATTCAGAAAACTACAGAGAAGTAGGGGTAGGAACCACCTCCCTACGACTACTGCAGAATTACCTCGAATGGGTCGCCTTTTGAGCTATCAACTGCTGCGTATGTCTTTTCAAATACAACAAGCAGCTGACCAAACCAAGCAAGTAAAAATAATAAAAAAAGAGCAACAATAAAAAAATACTTGTGGAGGAGATGAACTAATTGATTGCGTCACACAAAATGAAGGGGAATAAAAAGAACACAAAAAAAGGATCGTCACCTCGTAGACCCCGAGGTCGTCCAACGCCGCAGAAGCGAGGACGGCGTCCATGTCCTCCCCGTGCAGCTCGGCGCACACCTCCAGCCCACGGAAGCGGACGTCCATGAAGGGCGGCGGCGGCGCGGCCTCGGGCTGCTGCCTCAAGGACGACGACAGCAGCAGCAGCGAGCGCGCGAGCTTCTCGCTCTCACCTCCGCCGCGGGAGCCGCCGCCGGCGAGAACAAGAGACCCCTATTTTCATTTATTGATTTGTTTATTTATTGATTTGGCGAAAAGAAGAAAAACGGAAACAACACAAGGGAGAGAATGAAGGACCCAAAAGTGCATTGTGTGAGTGGCGCCAGGGGCAGGGCAAGCGGCTCTCCGTGGGCGGGCGTGGGGGAAGGCGGGAGAGGCAAACAACGCAGCACCAGCAGCACCAGCAGCACCAGCAGCAGCACCACCACCAGCGGTCGGGGGGGGCGAAACACGGCGAATCCTAATCTGAACATATTAACCCGAACTGACTGCCTGCCTGTCACTAGGGTAAGCTTTCGGGGCCACCACCCGCCCACAAACTGACGCCTTCATAGCTTTGCCACGCGACGCCCCCCGCCCCCGCCGCAGTAAAATTCAGGCTCTTTTCCCGAGCAAACTTCGGTCGCCGTCCGTCAGCCAACGGCCGCCACTGGCCGTGGCATCCTAAAAGTCAACCGCCCTGGCCAAGAGCACAAGGCAACCGACACCACGCGACGAGAAACAACAGCGACTGACGGCCACATCCTAACCATTAACAAAAAAAAAAAAGTGATAATAAGAAACGGCGGAGTCTATGTTACCCACACCAACGACAACATAAAACAGTGGTCCGTAGATCGCTTACCTCCGGAGCGCGCAAATTCAGGGAGATCGCCAACCACCCTCCCCAACCCTCCGTACCATAACCACCACCACCCTCCGCATTAGGCAGCGGCGGCGGCGGCGGCGGTGGTGCGCGAGCGGAGGGGTCGAAGTCGATGGCGGCAAAGAGGCGGCGGAAGTTCTCGTCCTCTCCGTGGTCTCCTTCCCCGGCCCCGGCCCCGGCGCGGTAATCCGCGGCGGACCGATTCCCGGAACGGTCTGCGCGGGTGCCGGCGCGCATGGCCCAGCTCACCTGCGAAGAAGAGCCAGACAGCCAGACAGCCAGTCCCCCGGCGAGACAAAATAATCAATGAAAGCAGGCGAAAATGTGGCTCTTGTGCTGGCCAGGATTCGTTGTTGGTATTGCCAATTTGGCCATAAGGATGATAAGGCAATACAGACGGCAATTCTCATCGGTCTCGGAGGAGAGAGGTGATATACATGCGTGGGCGAGAACAAAAAAGGTGCCCTGCCTGACTTCTTAGCGCGGGAAGCGTGCCAATTTCTGTTCCCGGCATGAAGTAATACACTACACCGGCAGGGCTCGATGAACATTAAAAATGGCTCCATGGACGCCAAGGGCTTGGGTTCTGTTGTTGGATTTTACCGTCCGCGTGGCCTGTGGCTTTGCGTCCTCCACAAAAGTCAGCGACTTATCACAAGGCAGGTCGCCGTTGTGGAGGCGCTCAGAACCCTACAAAACGGCGGTACGAAACAGCAGAAGCCTCGCCTTTACATCGGGGAAACGGGCTTGAATCCGATCAAATACATGGATTGGGTGTTTCCCCTTTACCAGCAGTCTGTTGGTGCCACCAACAGCAGTTCCCGCTTGCCTTGTTCTCCCTACAGACGCGATTCACCTCCTTTGCCCAACGACACGAAACTTAAACTTTGAAACATGGGCAGCAGCACAGCGGGGCAAACATCCAACACATCCCGTTCGACTGTGGTCTATGTCTCAAATGGGTAGTCTGTCTATGTTTGTCGTTATGTTCCCCGATAACTGGACTTTTCATCTTCTACTGCTACATAACGTCGTCATACGCAGGCTCTCAATACGGTCCCGTTCTCACCCAGCCGCCAATTCCCCAGCGGTTCCCGCCGCCGCCGCCGCCGTCCTCTCGGCCACCGCCGTTGCGAGGGTGGTTGTCTCTCCCAGCGCGCAGCAGGACATCCTCCCGCTCGGCCATCGCCCGAAAGATAAGGATGTCTTCGAAGGACAGCTCCTCCTCGAGCTCCTCTAGCCTGCTCTTGTCGTTCGCACCGGCATCATCGTCTTCGTGAGACTCTTCGCGGGGGGTCGACGGCTGTTCCCGCTCGGCCCTCCCCTCTCGCGCGCCCCCGCTCCTGCTCCTGCTCCTGCTGCTGCCGCTGCTGCTCCTGCTGCTGCTGCTGCTGCTGCCGACCCCCGCACCGCCGACCACGACTGCGGCAGCACCAGCACCGCCATCCTTCTCGACCCCGTTGAGAGCTATGACGCCTCCCGACGATGGCAGCATCGCCGCCCCCGCCGCCGCGGGGTTCGTGCCGAAAGACGGCGACGGCGCCGCCGAAGAAGACGCCGGACCCGACCCAGACGGGGAGCGAGGAGAGGAACACAACCCCGCACCATCGCCCCCCCCGTCGCTACCACCACCGCCGCCACCGGCAATACTGCCACCGCCTGCTGCAGCGGACGACAACCCCAGTGCCTTCTTCCACAGTGTCATGTACTCGAGTCTAGCCGGCGGGGGGGGGGGGGGGGGGGGGNGGGGGGGGGGGGGGGGGGGGGGGGGGGGGGGGGGGGGGGGGGGGGGGGGGCGAACCAGAAAAGGGGGACACGCAGATGGGATGGAAGCGACGGTCACCAACCCTACGCCCCACGAAGGGTTCTTCGTAAACTTCCCCTTCTACAAGTGTGCAACACGTCAGCACTAGAACACGCCCGTGAAACAGCAAACGGTTACTCAACACTGGTGTATGTATGTGTGTGCTTGTCGCCCCATATGCAATGCTACCAAAATCAATCGCGGACTTTTTTCCGGCAAAAAGCTCGCATCTCAGCAAACAACAATTTGCGTTGGGCACCGAGCCGAGTCGGGACCATTCATTCGGAAGACTGTATTTCGGGCAGATCGGCGTCGAACACGAAAACATCACAAGTGCAACGGACGTTCGACACAAACAAAATCAGAACGAATACTCTCCAGAGTGAAACTGGAACACTGCAAGGTTAAGGTTCTTGGTCGTCACTGTCGTCTCACCTCATCCTCCGCCGCTTCGCCATGTCCGGGAACCTGCTGCTATGAGAGAAGCCGTCTGCCCTGAGCTTGTCCACCACCACGGCGAACGCGAAGCGCCACCAGGCTGCGGGGTCCTCCAGCACCGGCACTTCCGGCCTTACAAGAACGAAAAAACAAGGGCGGAAAGCACGGACACGCACACATCCATGATGGCAACATCGTAGCAAACGTGGCGCGGCAGTAGTATCCCCGCTACTTTACGTGCAAGACTGGGGGATTTTCATTGGTCATCAGTCTGCTAGCGCGTTCGATTTCAATAAAAATATGCCTACGCACAACACTGTCTTTTCTCTTCTCTTGGCTGTGAGACTGACATCATTCCATTCGTCAGCCGATTAGAAACACATACGCATACGCGCCCGTGTAAGAACATGTTCAGCGGAGAAAACGACGTCGGGCCCCGTGGTTGGGGTAACGCCGTAGTACCGGGTCCGCACCTGTGCTTGAAGTACTTCCCAACCTCTCCGTACCGCGCGACCGACGCCCCGAGGCACATGGCGCCTTGCAGCTGAAAGTGCTCCAGCTGGCAAGAAATTGTCCCCAGCTCCACCTGCGCCTGCACTCTGGGCTGGGACCTGCGGCGGCAGCAGCAGAACGACAGCAAAAAAAAAATGAGAACGATAACATCGAAACCCGCACAAAAAACAGGAGTGTGTTTACAATAAAATCACTGCTGTTGCAAAAACAACAACTCTCAGGAATGATGACAGCAATTTTCGCTGGCTTTTCCGTTGCTTCTTGCCGTAAGGACTTGATCATTTTGGCAGGGGGCGCCATGAGCCTGTGAACAGGAGGAGGACGGTTGACACAACAACGCGACTGCCGCTACTGCTGTTGAAATTCGCAATGAACACACGAGAGGTTTTGACTATGATGAAGACAGCATTCATGGGTTCTCGTTTACCCAACACACTTCCCCTCCAAGAAAAGTTGCAGAGCCTTCAACGACTCTGGGGCATGGGGGACGGGGCATGGGGAGGACAAAAACAGATTTGATCCAAAGCTTTAGGAACCGCACTCGAAGTCCGCACTCGCGATCTGCCTCACCGATCACTCGGGTCGACGCTCAGCGCTACCCGTGCACTGGCATCCACTGGCTCTATAAGGTAGCGGTGCCGCAGCGGCTCCCCGGCCCCGTTCCCCGCCCCCGCCTCGTCGGCATCATCGTCTTTCCTAGCAATGAGCCTGCCCCCCACCCCCCCACGGCGCCGGCACCACGAGCCATAAACACACGGCAGGGGAAAGCAGCAAAACAGCCCGGTAGGGTTAGGTACAAGCAGGAGGTTAATGCACCTCGACCGGTCTAGCGAAACCGCACCACCTCCCTCCCCCGCCCCAACCGCAAAAAAAAAAAAAACGCCCCTCCGCTCTCCCCTCTCCGGTGCAACACAACACCACAACGCCTACTGCCAGGTAGATAAACCCGACGTG